AAATTAAACACTATCTACAGATTTGCATCGAAGCGTTTCTTATGATAGTGATTTTAATCACTGTCAGATTAAATCTATACTGGACCCTACTATGCAATGTCTCCACTATGCCGCGACCCCACTGTGCTACCGTTTTTTTTTTCTTTTAAGTATTATTTTATATATAATTAGTAATAATATAAAAAATTAGAAGTGATTGAAAAAGTCTAATTGTAGATTTGAAAACAACGCGAAAAGTTGATTTAGAGAAGTATATTTTTGCTTCTGATGAAAGTTCCTTGTAGTACAGTGCATTTATTTATAGTAACAAACAGATTTATTGAAAAATATTGTATCAACCTTTTTAAATTTTTATACACGTAAAAGTAAAGCAAAATATAACTTCTTTATTATTTTTATAATTTCTCCGTTTAAATTACAATATTAAATTTCAATTTCATACTAAATTTAATAATTATAATTAGTATATATTCATATATTATATTTTAAAATCAAAGAACTACTAATCAGGATTTAATCAAAGAAATAAGAGTTGATGATGCTTTTGGAATAATCCACCAATTTCTCTAAATGAAACACTATCTACAGATTTGCATCGAAGCGTTTCTTATGATAGTGATTTTAATCACTGTCAGATATCATCTATACTTNTTATGATAGTGATTTTAATCACTATCAGATATCATCTACACTTGTCCCATATATGCCTCAACCGCACTGTGCCTCGATCCCACTGGGCTGGGTTTTTTTCTATTTAATGATGTCAATTTTAAGCTGGCCTTGAATATAGTAAATTATTGCTCTCTAAATTGATCAATATCATTGTCATAAAACGCTTCCACGCAAATCTGTTAAATTTCACAATAATTTTTTTATTAGTAATTTCACAATTTCTACATTTTAATATTTTACCAAATTTTTAATGCTTGTCAAATTAATTGCTTAATTAAAAATAAAATTTTATTTTAATAAATTTGCGAATTTTTTTTACTATGACGATCGATTTTTTATAGTAGAACAACCGTGGGAACAAATTTCTTTTAATATTAAAGTAAATTTCAAAGTCTTTAATTTGATATAGATTTTAAAAATGGAGTCATTTCGGCCTTTCCAAAAACTGAGTTGAAAAAAATTCTTACATTCGTGGATGGTCGTCTATTTTAAATCCGTCCTGCGCATAAGTTTCTTATTTAATTTTCATAGAGCTTATTTTCTCTTTTAATAATGTATTAAATTTTCATTGCGATAAGTATTTTAAAAAATGTTATAGGAGTTTTAAAGTATAGATAACATTATTGGAAAATGCTATTTTTACCGTATCGTATTTTTATGATATTTTTCAAAATTTTGAAATTTAAAGAAATTTATTCCAATTTTTATCTATGATATCAGCAACTAGACTAAAATCAGGTTCTTATAACGTATTAGTTATTAAAATCAGTCAGATTAGAGCTAAGAACTTTCATGGACAGACACAAAAAACATATTATAGTAAAAACCTTTTCAGCTTCGCAATAAATCAAAAATATTTAATATTTATTCCTCATAGAGAATTTAAAAATTATTTAGAACACTAAATAAATATTCTAATACATATATTAATTTTTTGAATAATAGGTTTTCACAGCAGCTCCACCTTTAGCAATTGGAATATTCAATACAGTTTGTTCTGCAGAAACACGTTTGAAATATCCATACATGTATACACAAATAAACAATAAGTTAAACACCAAAACTTTTTGGAAATGGGTTCTCAATGGAATATGTCATTCATTCCTTATATTTTGGTATTGTTTATTTATTTTAAAACATGAAATCATTTGGAATAATGGATATATTGGAGATTTTTCAATACTAGGCAACTGTATATACACGGTATTAAATAATATAACACGTTTTACGATTGTTTTTTTTATTATTAACATCAAATTAATGTTTAATCAATGTAAAATTAGAAAGAAACAGACTCATTATAATATATTTTTGTGTATTTTAAAGATTCAAATTTTATATATTTTAAATTACTTAGCGTGTTACAAACACCCAAAATAATTTTTACAAAATTGTTTTTTTTTTTATACAATTTATAAGATTATATATAGAAAAATATTTTTTCTCGCTCAAATTGAGTTATATTTAAAAGGTTATTTATTTATTAAATATCTATATCTATGAATAACATTTAATTGTATTATAATCTCAATTAAAAAGTTTCTCTGGATAGTATTACATAAAATATATACACAGTGATCCATTATCATAAACCACTTATCTACTTACAAAATAGAAAAGTTTGGTGAATATTTTTTTTGATTTTGGAATTTAAACACTATTTTTTCAATTAACAAAAAATTAACTTAAATTGTTTTTTTGTGTTTCTTTCACATATATTTTTTGATTTATCAATTATTAAGTAATTATTGGGTTCATCCTTTACGTCTTATAAGGAGTAATTTTTCTTTGAAAGAGAATGTTACATAATTAACTTATAAAATAGAAAATGAATGGTCGATAGCATTTTTTGGACCTGTACTGGGAATTCGTTAACATTTTAAAATATAGAATTGTGGCGGTCGAATGTTCTAGAATGTTCGGCCGCCGCCGCCTCTAGAAGATTCCTCTGACTATTTAAGGACAAGATCGTCGCTCCAGTCAATCAATCGATCAGTCAATCACTTACGCATTCTGTCTTAAACGCGCTTCGTCTCTCGCTGTTATTTGTTAGTTCGTTGTAATATAGTATAGTTGTTATTAAATCGTAAAAGTGTTTATTACTTCTATATATTACACCTCGCTACATTGGTGACCTCGACGATAACAAGTATGAACGCCGAAGAACTACGCAATCAATTGGAGGAGTTACGCCAAGAAAACGCTCGCCTTGCAGCACTACAGGCACAGCAATATCCAACAGCTTCAGTGAATCGCGTTGCCGTCAAGTTGCCACCTTTCTGGTCCGAAAGACCGAGCTTATGGTTCTCACAGGTTGACTCGCAGTTTGCAATCTCGGGAATAACAAGTGAGGAAACAAAATTTAATTATGTTGTGGCTCAGCTTGATACGCGTTACGCCGCCGAAGTAGAGGATATTATTACTAACCCACCGCCTACTGAACGCTACAAACATCTACGCGCAAAACTCGTTGAACGGTTGTCTATCTCAGAAGAACAACGTGTGCGGCAACTCATCAATGAAGAAGAACTAGGTGACCGTAAGCCATCACAGTTCTTACGACATCTCCGTTCCCTTGCCGGCACTACTACATTACAAGACAATATTTTACGTCAACTTTGGCTCCGCCGTCTACCATCACATGCACAAGCTATTTTAACCGCACAATCAGAGCTTCCTCTGGATAAGGTAGCCGAGCTGGCTGACAAAATTGTTGAAGTGCAGCCAGCCCCCTCGCAATTCGTCCATGCTGTTGCCACGACGAACAATAAAAAGGAACTCGATGTTTTAGCTGCCATTGAAGCACTCACAAAACAGGTAAGCGAATTATGTGCTAAACGCCCGCAACGTTCCCGCTCTAGGTCACGTAACCGTTCAAACGTGGAACTGACTAACGGCAAAGGATGGTGTTGGTATCATAGCACTTATGGAGAAAAGGCTGCCAAATGTAAGGCTCCCTGCAAGTATCAGGAAAACTCCAACGACAGTCAGTAGCGGCGGCAACAGACTGTCCGAACCCGAGCAGCCGCCTGTTTGTTACAGATCAAATAACAAAACGCCAATTTTTAGTCGACTCCGGTTCCGACTTATCTTGTTACCCTCAACGGCTACTACGGGAACGACGCCATGCCACCGATTACGACCTCAGCGCGGCCAACAACAGTACCATAAAAACTTACGGGACGGTCCATCTCAATTTGAATTTAGGACTTCAACGCAGTTTCCCATGGAGTTTTATTGTCGCCGACGTGAGTTCTCCTATCATTGTTTCCGACTTCATGGCATACTACCACTTGCTGCCGGATTGCCGTACCAAACGTCTTATTGATGGTGTCACAGGCTTGGCTGTGAATGGTAAGGTTTCCTCTGTAAATCAATGCAGCATAAAATCAGTTGCCAACACTTCCCCTTGGACTGCACTTCTCGCAGAATTTCCGGACATCACACGTCCCACCGGATTGCCCAGGACAATAAAACATCAAACAGTGCACCACATTCTTACGACACCTGGTCAGCCAATAGCCTGCCGCCCACGCCGCTTAGCTCCAGGTAGACTAAAAATCGCCAAACAGGAATTCGCGGAAATGGTCAAGGCAGGTACCGCTAGACCTTCAAGCAGTCCGTGGTCTTCACCATTACATTTAGCACCGAAAGGGGAGAACAGCTGGCGTCCTTGCGGTGATTACCGCGCGCTGAACGCCCGAACTATACTCCTATCCAGACAGACACATACATGATTTCTCGCACAACCTGGCTAATTGCACGCTATTTTCCACAATCGATCTGGTAAAGGCTTACCATCAAATACCTGTTAATCCGGACGATATATGCAAAACAGCCATTACCACTCCATTCGGACTTTACGAATTTCCTTTTATGACATTCGGATTGCGAAATGCTAGATAAACTTTTCAACGCTTCATAGACGAAGTTACCAATGGGTTGGACTTCTGTTATGCATATATTGATGACATTTTGGTATTCTCTAAATCGGAAGAGGACCACAAACAGCATTTACGCACTCTTTTCGGGAGACTTTCTGACTACGGTGTTGTCGTTAACCCGCAAAAATGTGTATTAGGTTCGGCTGAGGTGAAATTTCTAGGTTACCTAGTATCTTCTGAAGGCACCCGCCCGCCACCGGAACGCGTCGAAGCCCTACGACAGTATCCATTGCCAAAATCTATGCAAGGATTACGCCGGTTTTTGGGAATGGTAAATTTTTATCGCCGGTTTATTCCCAAAGCTGCCGACCTGCAAGCACCACTTCACGGTATTCTCAAAGGCCCGAAGACAAAAGGTTCCCAACCGATAGAATGGACTCCCGAGTTAGAAAAAGCGTTCACCACATGCAAAGAAAGTCTTGCGACCGCTACTCTTTTAGCACATCCTCATCCAGCCGCACGACTTGGACTATTCACAGACGCATCTAGCCAATCTATCGGCGCATGTCTGCAGCAGCGAGTCAATAACATCTGGCAACCCATAGCATTTTTTTCAAAGAAAATGTCGGTGAAACAAAGTGCGTGGCCTGCGTATTATCGTGAGTTGCTTGCCATCTATGAATCGGTGAAGTATTTCAGGCACATTGTCGAAGCACAACCATGTACCATTTTCACCGATCATAAGCCACTCGTATATGCTTTCACCCAACGGAGAGAAAAGATACCTCCTACGCAACTCAACCAGTTGACATTCATATCCGAATTCACCACCGACATTCAACACATTAAAGGTGATGAAAATATCGTCGCGGATACAATGTCACGCATTGAAGTTGTGTCTCTCCCGCTGGACTACCGAGCTCTTGCTGCATCTCAAGACACGGATGATGAACTCAAACATTTTACTGACAACAATTCATCTCTTCATTTGGAGAAGGTACTAGTGCCAGGATTTTCAGCCTATATTTATTGCGGCACGTCAACGGGACGCCCACGACCATTTTTGCCACAACGATTCCGGCGTCACGCATTTGATTAGTTACACAACCTTAGTCACCCCGGTGCACGCGCAACAACTCACTTAGTTTCAGAACGATTTGTGTGGCCAGCAATGAAAAAGGATTGCCGTTCCTGGGCACGTGCCTGCGTCCACTGTCAGCGATCGAAAATAAGCCGACACGTCTCAGCCCCACTGGGAAACTTTGAAACACCTTCACGCCGATTCAAACATGTTCATGTCGATATCATCGGTCCATTGCCGCCATCACAGTCCTTTAGGTACTGTCTGACGGTAATCGACCGTTTCACCCGTTGGCCGGAGGTGTATCCACTCGAACGTATAACAGCAGATGATGTCACTAAGGGTTTCCTCAATTGCTGGATTTCACGCTTCGGAGTACCTCAATACGTTACGACTGACCGTGGTACTCAGTTTGTTTCAGCTACTTTAAAAACTTTAGCAAAACGTTTTGGTTTTACGCTTCGCCCCACTACCAGTTGGCATCCTGCTGCAAACGGATTCGTCGAACGAATGCACCGACAACTAAAGGCAGCCATCATGGCCCACGCAAAAGACTCGTGGACTGAGTCACTGCCTATCGTGCTTCTCGGAATACGTTCTGCGTTTAAGGAAGACTTAAAAGCCACGTCTGCGGAACTTGTTTATGGGGAGCCTCTTAATCTTCCTGGTGATTTCTTCACAGACAATCAAGATAATAGCAGTACGAACGACCCTACTAGCTTACTAGATCGTCTTCGCAGTGTTATGAATAAAATCCGTCCAGTACCTGCATCTCGCCACTCAAATCCACGATCATTTGTTTTTGCGGACCTTAAGGACTGTTCACACGTATTTCTCAGGGAGGGAGGTGTCCGAGCAGCACTTCAACCGCCATATCAAGGTCCCTACGAAGTAATTGCCCGAAATGACAAAACGTTCACAATAAAAGTTCGAAATCAACCAGTTACGGTGACGATTGATAGAGTAAAACCTGCCTACCTCATGGTGAACGAAAGCACAACCGATAGCCAGGCACATGCTCCACCAGCGACTGCCCCGAATACGCCCAAACAAAAACAACCGCCTAATACCGATCCATCAACACAGCCAGTACGAACAACTCGCTCAGGCCGCCGAGTCAGATTCCCGGACATTTTTGACCCTAGCTAACTCCACTCCGTAGGGGGGTGGTGTGGCGGTCGAATGTTCTAGAATGTTCGGCCGCCGCCGCCTCTAGAAGATTCCTCTGACTATTTAAGGACAAGATCGTCGCTCCAGTCAATCAATCGATCAGTCAATCACTTACGCATTCTGTCTTAAACGCGCTTCGTCTCTCGCTGTTATTTGTTAGTTCGTTGTAATATAGTATAGTTGTTATTAAATCGTAAAAGTGTTTATTACTTCTATATATTACACCTCGCTACAGAATGGTTAAGAGGCGAAATTTTAATAACTTCCAAAATACAAATTCAAAAAGTAATATCAACTACTCTGTATATAAATTTATAACCAGGCATTTTCTCAAAATGGGGCAATGTTTTTAAACAATGGCATATCCAGAATTTTAGGCAACCTTCAATTTAAAGTTGGACAACTTTTTTTACATTTACAATTTAAAACTAAAGTAAATTTATTTTGATTTTATTTAAGTATGGTTAAAAGTGTACAAAATTATTTTCTTTTGTTTTAACGAGATTAAAGTTATACATAACTTTTGATATATAATATACCATTAACTACTCAAAAGTTACGATGATAAATATTTAGATTGAAAATCAGATAATAGGGTTGTAGTTGAAAATTATCTGAAATTAGCATTTTATGTAATTGACAAAACATAAAATTTTTAACTGTAATACGATAAAATTTTTTTTTATAATCAGTTGTGTTTTTCAAAAATATTATATTTATTAATATTCCAATATTTGTATATTTTTAGTGTGTACTTACTGTAGTTTGTTTAAAAGCGGGGCTGCTCATTCAATCTTGGAATTTCATAGTACATTTAACAATTTGGTCATCTATATTGTCGTGGTTTATATTTGTAGTCGCATATAGGTAAATATATTCTTAAAAAATGTAATAAATTTAATATATATATTATAATAATAATTTAATATATTAAATATAAAAAATTTAATACAGTTAATATCTAGACTAGTTAATGATTGTAATTACTGTAGCCATTTTACTAGGTAAAGTGGATTAACCATTTCTCATTTTTATGTCTTTATGCTCAGCTTTATAGGGTCAATCCAAGCCAAATCATCCAGAAGAGGTTGTACGACCATCTCATTTTTTTCTTAAATTTTTAGGGTTAATTTTTTAAGCTCTAATTAAATTAAAACAATTTTTTGTTTTTTGTGACCTTCCCACTTTTATGGCTATTTCAATATAAAAAATGTTAAAAATAGCCAGAACGTTAAAAAACACAGATTATTCAATATTGACATTATCGAATTAAAATTGTAGACTTGACCTTATTATAACTTAAAGTTAACATATAAAAAAAAAAAATTATATGAAATTCTAAGTTTTATTACTTTCTAAAAATGATGAAAATTGGCGTTTTTGAGCTCACTTAAAACTATTAAGAAGTTTTTATTTTACAATGATTTTCAAACGTGTAATTGTATAGTGTATAATTTATGTTTCAACTAAATTTTAAATATTTAAAACAATTTTCTTGGGATTTAGAGGCCTGCAAAGTTAGAAATTTTATAAATCTTCTACATTTTTTAGAAAGCTATTCAATTTATTATTTTAGTTTTGTTTTTACCTATATTAGGTTGGTTTACAACGATTTTAACTTAGCTCTCCATTTATCACGATCTTCAGCAAGTCTTTTTAATCCGGCGTAAGTATCAATCCCTGCATCATTTTTCAGTTGAAATATATACAAGTTTCTTGGTTTTCCTGGTGGTTTTCATCCTTCAATTGCACCTTCTATTAAAGTATGATGCAATTCGTCGTCATGACTTTAATTATGGATCTTGTTTCTCCAACTTGGGTCAGTACATCTTCATTTGTTACTCTAAAACTAAAAACTAAAATAATGAATTGAATAGTTATAATATATATAATAATTATATTAAATAGTAAATATATTACATATTCTATAATATATAAAACAATTATAAAAATATGGTCTGAAAACAACAAAAAAATATCATTAAATTATTTGATTTTCAACGGATTTTTACTGATTTTCTAATGCTAAATTTTATATGTTACACTTTTCTCAAACTTAAAATTTTTATGGTGTACTAAACAGATATAAAACTAAAAATTAAAAAAAAAAATTTTTGAAATTAGGTCACCCAATAAAAATAATGCACCTAAATTTTAATTCGATAATGTCAATATTGAATAATCTGTGTGTTTTTAACGTTCTGGCTAATTTTAACATTTTTTACATTGAAATAGCCATAAAAGTGGGAAGTCACAAAAAAAAAAATGTTTTAATCTTATTATAGCTTAAAAAATAAACCCTGAAAATTTAAGAAAAAAATGATATGGTCGTACAACCACTTCTGGATAATTTGGCATCGATTGACCCTATAGGATCAATATTAACTAATAATACTTAACAAAAACCCCGAATTATATTTACTGGGATCGAAAAGTTTTATGAAATCCCTCTTATGATTTTAAATAGCTTTTTTCATTAATATTCAATAAAAATAAGCAAATATGTACATATATTTTGTTCATACAATTTTTGAATTTCTCAATTTTCTGATAAAAATGTTCTTTTATTATTTCTAATCAAAACAGTATAAACTTTTTTTTATTAAACAAATTTTAAATCAAGTAAAACAGAAAGAAACAATTATGGATTTCCCGGGCAATAAGGATTTTTAATTTATAATTAGTATGGAATAAAGTCTTAAAATGAGTCACTTTATTATATTTCATAAAATAAAAGAACGTAACTCAAATATTTAATTAAACAAGAGAAAATAATTAAAATAAAATGAAATGTTCATTATATTAACTAAATTTATAAATTAACAATATCAATTTTTGTGTATTTATAATTTTATTTTGATCACTTAAAATAGGTGTTCTGAAAATTGAGTTATGTCCTTTTTTCGAGACGATGTCTATATTATATAAGTTTTTTTTAATTAAAAAAAGAGAAAAGAAATATCTTACTTTTATATTGCTCTTTTATATGGAGGTAAACATTTTTTTAGAAATGGAGGTTTTACTTGAGTGTCTCATAATGCTAATTCTGAGATCAAGAATCTATAAACTAACAAAATAAATTGTTTAAAATCAGTTTAGTTAAAATTATTTAACTAAATCATAATTAAACTTTAGAAGTTATTTTCATAAATCATAGCAATAAATATCTTTTGAATTTGTGAGGTGCCCTAGAAAATGTTTGTTGAGTAAAATTTTAAGAAAAATGTTTTAGCAATGCCTTTACATATAAGAGGAGGTACTAGAAAACGTAATTATTTAATCCTGAAATATTTAGGGACGATTGAGACTTTATGAGTCTCAAATTTCATTTTTTGTTTAGTGGACTATTAAGATAGCAATGTGGGCCGGTGTAAGTCTATGCTACATTGGATCCAAAAATTTGCGATCGCCTATAGCTAGTACATAAAATATAAGTATGATTACCTTATAAAATTCTACTTTTAGTCGATTAGCACCGTTTTTGTACTACATTGATATAACAATCCATTTAAATGACGTCATTTTGATGAGTTCACCTGTGTTTTGGCTTACCTTAGTGCTTATCACATGTTTTTCATTGATGTTAGACGTTACAATTATGACGTTAGTATAACATTTTTTATTTTATTTAATTGTTAAAAATTCATGTATTTGTAAAATATCAGTTTTTTTTCAGGATTCAAAAAATATTTTGTAAATCGATAACACAAAAATTACGAAAAACAGAGTTACAGAGCAATATTTAATAAATTAATGTATGTTTGTTTTTCAAGTTTACATTTTTGGAAAATAATACCTTAAATACCATTTTGTTTTTGTGAATTATTATTCTCAGTTTTTGGGAATAAAATATTTTTTTAAGTTTAAATAAAATGTGATTATTAATATTTTTCTGGATAATTTAAGCGTATGGTATTTATTTTACAATTACATGTAATAGTATTATGACACTTACTGCATTGAGTATATCATATAGTATCCATATTTATTAAGAAACTATATGCAAATAAATATACATCAAAATACAATAAAACAATTATTTTGGTTAAATTAATATTTGTTAGCTCTTTGTATAAATCTAGACATATCTCCTACAGGATATGTGCATTTGTTTAATTATATTCAATTAACTATTTTGCATTTCTTTTATATTTTATGCATTCAATGATTTTAGTGTTAAAAATGGTCGATAAATTTACCTAAGTTCAAAGGATTATTTTACGCCTTGCTATTACATAATTTCATGGAACCTAGGTTGGGTTGGGTTTAGTTTATACGTTATCAACAAGTTGATTCATTATCAATTCTTCAAAACTACATAGAATTGTGAACATTGAAACTGTCTACAATTTTGCGATCAGTTATACGAATTGCTTATTAGCGAGCTTTGTTGCGTGTATATCATAAGGTATATTAATTATTGTAACTGTGATGTATTTCCGTTATATGATAATACTATTATAAAACATTGTGTATCATCAATGAAATTTATATATTAAATTTCAATTTTTCTGTCGTGTAGAATTTTATGTAGTTGCAGTTAATACTTTATTTTATGATAAATAAAATAGTGTTATGCTAATTGTTAATTACTAAAACAGCTTAACTTAACGTTTTTGTTATTGATAATTTACTATCGCTGTGGCGCGCGAGATTACAACTGCACGAAGGACACTAAATGGTGGACCAGACTTACCCGGTAGTAATAATCATTGGAAATAAGTGTACCGGTTATAATAAGTAATCGCGCGGTACACGGACACGTTACTTAATTCTTGTTTTACCCTGACTGTTTCATCGATCTAGAGAATTTTAAAAACTATGACAACGTTCTAATCAATATTTTTAAGTAACTTGACAATTGTTCATAGAACACTTAATGTGAAATTTACGGACTTAAGATTCTTGACAGTAATTTTTGATAACTCATCAAGCATATTAAAGAAAGAAAATGTATAATAAAGGAAAAAATGCAGCTGTACCTTCTGATGCCCAAGCTAGAGAAAAGTAAATACAATTTTATATTACATTATGCTTTGAATATTAGATTTCAGTTAAATTTATGTTTGGAATATGTCAGGTAATACTCAATGACTATTTGATATTGTCATGAAATTTCCTTTGGGTCCTAGCTACCTAAAATCAATATAGATCTGATGAAATACTATTAGTGGGTATAGGCTACAATTTAAGGGTGGTAAAACTCTCTTATAGTGTAATAAATTTTTGTTAATAAAATTGTTGTTTTTATAACTTTGAAGCAGTATAAAAATTATCTAAAGTAGAGATTATTTCAACCATTTAAATTACTAAAAATTGCATTAAACATATAACACTTAATTATATACTTTAATTTTTTTTTATAGATATCGGATATATAAATAGAAAAACTGCTGTATTTTCTAGAAATAATATCAATAGACCAGTATGAACCTTAAAATGTTCTTATTAAAATTTATCAATCTGTTTAAAAGTTCATTATACATAAAGAAAATGTTAGTTTTCAACTTTTATAAAGGTCCAAGAATTAATTTTTAGAAATTTTAAAATACTCTTTCTAAATTTTAGAAATAGTTAGTATTTTATAGCAAAAAAATTAATTTAAAATAAGCTTATATTTAGGTTTAAAAATATGCTATTTAAACTAATAATGACTTTTACAGGTTGGCTTTGTATGTATATGAGTATCTACTACATATTGGAGCACAAAAAGCAGCTCAGACTTTTTTAAATGAAGTAAGTTGTTAAAGTATGATTAAATTAATTAAAAATATTTATTAGAATATTTTTGAAAAAAGATCAATTTTATCTAAAAAAAGTTTAATTAAAAAAAAAATAAGTACTTCAAAAATGTTGTATACAATTATTTTATTTAAACATTTGAACTTTGAACTTAAACAATACTTTTAAGCGAATAAATTTACTTGATGATATTTGAATACAGCATCTAAAATGGTGTCCTCTGATATAAAATGTGTCTTCTAAATAACAAAATATATACCCTGAATTAAAGATGTATATATCAATTTTTATGATGTGTATTTTGGTTTAAATTGTCAAAATAGCAATTCTTAAATTTTTAAATGTTGATTACCATTTTTTTTTTTTGCATATCAAATTTTCTATAGCGCTTTATTCTTAATTAAATATTATTGTAAAGTTTACTAGATTATCATTTTGTTAATCAATTTACTAATTAGTTTGTTGTCAACATTTTTCAAAAAATATTAAAATATCAGTAAATTTAATTCAAATATAAAAATATATTTTGATGAATAGTAATGTAGTTTTATTCTTTAATTAATCTAAAATTAAAATTAAATATGTGGTGTGTTACTCATAATGTGAGTCTTAAACACTTATAGAAAAAAAATAGAAAATATGTATATAATAAGTTGAATAAAACTAATTTATTTTTAAGAAGTATTTTCCTTTCTGAGTTGTTAATAGTATTATTTTAATACTTTAAAATAAAAAAATGTTCATATTGGAGTTAAAACTGAACCCACTATAAGTTAGCTCGATTAATAGCTCACTCGTAACTATTAGTTTTTATTAAAATCTTATTAGATTTTGTAATGAAAATTTAAAATTAGGATTATTAATGCAAAATAATTATAACTGACTGAAATAAAATTTATGAACTTTATAAAAAAAAAAAATACATATTAATAAATTAAGTCATCTAAACTATATTTTATTTACTTACAAACATTCTCTAGTTACAATAATATATTACAGACTAATTGTTTGTGTATTGAAAAACTTTAAGAAGTAACTAAATTAAAACATGAATTTTTTAGATAAGATGGGAAAAAAATATTACGCTTGGTGAACCTCCAGGATTTTTGCATTCTTGGTGGTGGTAAGTATTTTTAAACTTAAAGTATAAAAAAATTTAATTGTAAAATTTGTTGCTTATTTCAGTGTTTTTTGGGATTTATATTGTGCAGCTCCTGAAAGGCGAGACTCGTGTGAACACTCAAGTGAAGCAAAAGCTTTTCATGATTATGTAAGTAATTACAATTTTTTAAATGTCATTATGTAATTTAATATAAAAATTTTTTTTTTTTACAAATTTTTTGTGAAAATATTATAGTAATTTTTATCTACAAAAATTATGAAGAATGCTTTTTAATACCTGAAAATCTCATAAAAAAAATAATTGAAATTAACTTTCATTTAATTTTCAATGAGCATATGCTGCATTAAGCCCTTTGAGCTGTACTTGCAGGTAGGCCACTGATTCCAGTAGGAGTAATCGGCCACGATATGTATTGTATAAAAAAATATAACTCCAAAAGCAGATTATCAAAAAATTATTCTCACTTCTAGATTAAATAATAATTTAAAAAATAATAATATGACTACCAATTACTTAGGTATAATTACAATTGTGATCATAATAATCTACTAATTATTATTTCAAACAACAGATAGACAAAAGAAAACTTAACAATCATTAAGAACAAACTTTAAATGCCATGTTATTAGTGAAAAGTACACACTAACATAAAATTTAAATGAAATTGTGATACGCAAAGTAAAATCATATCTTATTAAAAATTTGTGAAAGGACTTAAAAGAAAGAAGCTCATGACTCGGTCAAAAATGAACAGATTTCAACGAAATTTCAGGGTACCTTTGGAATGTCTCTGAGTAGGTTTGGTAAAACTTTCAGAATTTAAATTGAAAAATGCTGGAGGCAATGATCATTTTTGATAAAAATTTTGAATGCTTACAGTGTTTAACAAAAAACTTTCTCATCTTCATAAATAATTTTCTTAGAATGGCGTTGTCAAGTTCTTTCATTTAAAAAAAAAAATTTGAAAATCGTATATCTTTATTTTTCCAGCATTCGCTAATTTTTCAATGTCTTATTATATAATAAGATATTAAATGAAAAATCTTATTAATAGTTGATGATTTTTTAAAACATTAATAAGCATTAAAAAAAATAATGAACCATATATAAATGAAATCTCTTCTCATTTAATAAAAAAAATCATTTATTTGTGTTAATATTATTAAAAAAATTATTAAAATTATGCAGCATAAGTATTATCTTCTAAATTTTTTTTCAGGGTTTTGTGAATTCAGGTTATGGATTAAATGGTTTGCCTAATGTAAGTATTTGTTAATGTCATTCAGTATAATTAATGTTTTTAATACAGTTTATTTTTAAACCAACATTTTGTATAATAAATAGTATAAATATATAAATAGCTAGGACAGATTTTAATAAAAAAAAATGTAACAATAACCTAACCTTGCTATTCATTGTGAGATGAATTTTTTATTTGACATAAAATTTTGAGTGATTTTAAACTATGCCAAACAAAAATTTTTAGATACAAAAAAAATCTCATGACCATTATAGAATTTATTTTAAAAGATTCCTAAATAGATGTACTTTATATAACATAAGGCATATTCAAAAAGTAACAAATACTGCTGCTTTTTTAGTCTGAAAGTATTATTTTTTTTTGCATATTTATTACACTGACTGTTGTATTAAATATGATCGTAAATAAAACTTTTTATAGAAAAAATAATTTTGTAGTATCAGTATCAGTACAAAATCCTACCAAGTGCAAATTATTTTTCGGTTTCTTCAGGCGAAAGGAAAAATGCCATTTATACACCAATTAAAAATATTTATTGCAAAAGTATTACGGATCTAATTAACATTTTTAAGTGGTGTTGTAACTTTAATGATGGCTAAACAAATATTCATGACAATAAAAAAAATGGAAGGCTTTCCATTTTGACCGATAAGTTGATACAAAATATTTAGGAAACTGTTTGTGAAGATTGACTATGGATAAATTGTCTGTGATGTTCTACAACATTTATAGACTCTCTTATAAGAGACCATATAAAATGATATTAAAAATTGTGTATAAGATGGGTTCAGAAATAATTGACTCTGCAGCGATTTGAACTTGTAAGTGACGATTTTTTGAGTTTTATTGTAAGTAGAATCACACTGGTGCATTGCCTGCAAAATAATTTAAAACCACAATTTTAGAAAAAAATCATGGTTTTAGTGTTTTGGGCCAGTAAAGGAATAATTTTATTGAATTTCTACATTAAGAAGAGACAATAAATGTAACAACATATTGAAAGACTCTAAGAAAAATCTAAAGGGTTATTAAAAATAAGAGGAGGGGAATGTTTCTTTAAAAGAGTGTTTTTTGCATGACAATCTTTGTCTACACACATCTACGACCACTAAAGAGATTTTATACCCATTTAGCTAGGACATGTTAAACCACTCAACTTACTCCCCTGTCATGATATCTTCTGACTTTTATTTTTTCACCTACCTGAAGGGTCATATGGGTCAAAATAAATTTCAACTGATGAGCAGATGATGCAAGAAGTCTTGAAGTAGAAAAAGGAGTTGATAGAAAACTTCTTTGAAGAGGGTATAAAAAATCTCGTGCTAGGTCTTTAAACCTGCATAGAATGAAAAGGTGTTTAAATAGAAAATTAGCTAACATTTTTTCTATTATAAAATAGTACTTTTTTTTCAATAAAATTATTTTCAAAAATTTTAAAAATCAAGTACTTATTATATTTTGAGTATGCTTCATATAAAGCCAAATTCATTAAAAAATCTCAAAACATAACTGGTAAATTTTAATAGTTTCAGAAAACTTATATTTGACTTGTCATTTTCTAGTACAAACATCAAATTTTTTAAGAATATTGACTTAAATTAAAATTCCTTCAAAAATAATCATTTGAATTTATATTGTATCATAAATTTATCTTTAATTAATTTGTCCATTAAATTAGTTATTGTTACTTATTATTATTTATGAATTCTATACATTTTGTATAGAAATCTGTATTTTTTTTTTCGTGTACTATCTATAATATAAAGCATGAACATCAAAGAGAGGCACATGGGATACCTCACCACCTCTCCTACTCTCTGAAACAAGACCTTAACTCTGTACGAAAAATGATAAAATTCCTCAAGGCTACCTAACTATTTGACTTAACTTTTATTCGCTCTCATTGTTTACTTAACCTAGTTATTTAAATAGCTATTTTATTGTGATATACACTTGATAGACATGTAATCACGCCCAATTGCCTTTGTTGCTGCCCAAGTTAATGGGTAGGTAAAATTTAATAATAATCTTTTACTTGCGCAAACTTTTGGTTTACAAAAAAATAAACTATAAATATGTTTCTTTTTTTACCTGATATATCCTAATTAAATATCTTGTTTAATAAATAATTGTTTTAATTACTATATTTTCATAGAATGCTGGGCCAGCTCCAAGTCCTCTTGGTCAAATACCTCCAAATGATGGAATGTCTAGTGGACCACTATCTGGAGGATTTTTCCCAGTAAATTTTTCTTCAAATAATATTGCTATAAAATTTATGAGTAATATTTTTCCATTCTTTAAATTTATTAATTTTTAGAATTTTTATAAAAATAAAAAATTTTACTGGAAATTAAAATAATGTTAATAAATAGATATTTTTATGACTGTTAAATAATGACCATTATTTTAACTTATACCAGTATAAGTACTAATATTTTCTTGATACTACTGTAATAATAGACAATCTATAAAATTTTAAGCTTCATATAATGAAAAATTAATATTTTATTCTACTTATTTAAATCTTTTTTGCTATTTAAAGCATATAATTTACATTAACAATTTTTTTTCTGTTATATAAAATATACATATAACAATTATCATTATAATATTTACAGTAGTTTGTTTGAAAATAAACTGAAAAAATATAATATTTTCAACAACATCAAATAAATATTTAGATAGTGTGAGAATAAAAAACTAAAAGTCTAAATTACAAATTGTTCAGGGGAGTAAAAGTAGTGTAATTTTTATAATAGTTTTATTGTAATAAATAAGAATATTGAAATTTCTATTGTTTCATTTTATGTGTTATTCAAATCTTCTATCTGCACTATGTCCATTTTATTATTTTTAGTAAATCCTTTCTTGAATTCATTCATCTCATATAAATTGTTAGACAATTTTTTTAAATATTATATGAGTTATTTTTCAGTTTCATAATATATTTCTTAACTGTATTCTTCGCATTTAAGAATAATATATATTTTTAATTATTCTAATTTTTTTTTTTTTTTTATTAATTTATGGTTTTGATTTTTTTCCTGTAGAATTCATCCATGAGACCATCACCTCCACAACAATCTCAAGTTCCCTCACAAATTTTAGCCAATCAGGTAATAAAAAAAATATTTTTAATAAACTAACTTTATTTGAATTTTTATATCATTTTATTCTTTTGTAATTAGCCTTTTATGGGCCCTCGTTTTCAAGGGGGTCCTAGACCAGGAATTCGAATGTCACCGCTTGGAAATGATTTTAATTCCGTGAGTTTTTTTATGTACTCAATACATACATTATTTGTGTTATGTTATTCAATAATTTATTATAAGTAATATTTTTTGTTATTAGTTGATGTTTTTGAGCTATGTATGAAACCCAGTGCCTTAAATATAAATCTAACATGTTTGAAATTTGTTGATTAAAAAGCATAATTTTCAAATCAATTAGTCTACTTGTTATTAATTTGTAATTTTTGTATGTTGAATATATCTGAACTTTTATATAACTAAAGAATTAATTTTATATATAAAATTGTTCTTTTAAAATTAGCTTAAAAAAAATGAACGTAAAATTTTTAATTTTAATTTTCTTTTTTTTTTAATTTATAAAAACGAATTATTAATTTTATATAAAAAAAAAATTGTTTATGGGGTTTGGTACTTAATTGAGCTTAATACTTAATTAATAAATTCATAATTTTTCGATTTAGGCTACTGGCCAACCATTGATGCCTGGAATGGATCCATTAAGACAAGGTAAAAACATAAAATAAATGTTTTTATTTTACATTATTATAACATAAATCAGTTAATTTATTTAATAATTAGTGAGCTTTACCTAATATTGTAACACAACTAAAATTTTAATACTTAATAAAACTACTTAGCCTAACTATTTATTGATAGATGATATCATGTATTCTTAACACTAAATAAATTCATATTTGATAAAGAAATTATTTAATTTTTTCAACATAATTTTGTTATTGACACAAAAAAAAAAAGTGTTTATTGGATGTATTTTAGCCATCTATTTTTATAGATAAATGATAATTTCAACATTATATTAATAATATATTGTCACATAAGTAAAAGCAACATCAAGGAGTTCTATGATTTAACCCCTTTAAATAAAAATTATATATTANTAAAAGCAACATCAATGAGTTCTATGATTTAACCCCTTTAAATAAAAATTATATATTAATAATACAACTCGGAGGAGGCAATAACAAATGTTCTTATGTATTTCTTGAACAAATCTTGAATATATCACTAAACAAATGATCACATTAAATAAAAAATAGGTTCTTAGATTTTTGAAAGCTGATTAACCATTTTTTAAAAGTATTTTCATTCATTCAGAAACATAAGAATAATTTTTGAAATATCACTAAATCCTTTTTATTATAATACCTCAACTTGATTTAACTGTTAAATTACAGAAATTGTTTATATTATTCAAGTATATTACTTTTATTTAATTATATTTTTTTGTCTCATATGTAGGTGAAGCCGGAGAATTTGTAGGTTGGCAAGGTATGCGCTTACTTAGTTAAATTTTATTGAATCATATATGATCCTGGTTGTATATTTTTGTATTCATGAAAGAATATCTTATAATATTAACTGTGCTGTATCTAACTATTAATTTATAATATATATATATATTATTTGTTTTTAATAAGAAAAATAAATAAATAATTTCCTTTTTAATTTATGAGTAGCCATTGTTTAACTCAATAACAATTAAAGGATGAGTACTTATTGATTTTCAAGCATTTTATTACATTAAATTGTTATGTATGCATGTGGGTCAGCTCGTACTGGTGTATGTGACTCCACCTGTATTATATACCCACTCTATGTATTAAAATACTTATAACTTAATAATACTAAACCTTAATGGTTATGAATCCATCAATTTAAAAAAAAAAAAAATGGTTATTTTAAAATTTTGAAAAAGTTAAAAGGAAAATATTTTATACATTTTTTATTAGAGACAATAAACTATATGCAAAACTGTAAAAATTATTATAAAAAAAAGTAACGTGAAAATTAATTGTATCAAAAGTTATTTGATTTATTAAAACATCAAGGATCATTCTATATTTATATATAACATTTATACAGGGGGATTCTTCTAATTCTAACTGCAGAATTTCTCTTAAAATAATAAATATTGTAAATAAATGAATTTTAGTATTTTTTTATTTATCAGTGATTAATTTTTAATTTTTATTCAATTTTATATCTTATAAGGTATCAACTAAATTTTTTTTAAAGGCAAAATACAAATTTAACTATATTAAAATAAAAAACGATTTAGTTAAAAAAGTCGCTGTTCAATAACAACTTTTGGGCAAGTACTTTGAATTTTAATGACATTTTATACTTTGGAGAAATGTCTAATGACAAATATTATCATCCCCATGCCTCATCTCAAGTCTATTTTAAAATGGTAATAACTTTTATTTTTTAAGTTAGTTAGTTTTAACTTTTATATTGCCATTAAAAAAAAATAAAGTTGATATTATTATAAGGTAAAAGAAATGAATTAAAAAAGTAATTAACAACTAATAAATTGAGAAATATATTATCATCATCACCGTAACTTTTTCTCAAACCTTTTAGAGTCGGCTCTGCCTTAATTATTTGACAGAATTTTATATTAAATGTCGACCTAAAATATTTTCATTGTAGCTGAGGATACCATTTTGAGGTCATTATAAAAGTTCCTGTATGGTCACCTACCCAGTAACATTGAAGCTGAACAACAGCACTAAGGTGGCGACTGAATGGTCCACTGAACTCAAAAATCAAGAAATATATGACACTAAAAAATACTAAAAATAATTTTTTTACACATAATTACTATTTTAAGAGAAATTTAGTGGCTAACGCTAAAATAATTACCTTGTATATTTTTTTTGCACAGATATCATTTTACTATTCACACAAAAATGGTTTAACTTAAATCAAATTTCTTATGTATATTTATTGATGTAGTATTATATAAACTTTTTTAATTTCTCAAAGTTATGAAAAACTTTTACGCTTACAAACTAATATTAACATGTATATCATACAAAATTATGTTTAAAATAATGCATCATGTATAGTTTTTATAATATTAAAATAGTTTGAAAAGCTAATAGAAATCATTAAAACTTATGCTTATGAACATCTTTTGTTGAGTTACATTAAAGTTTCATTATTAGAATAATTATAAATTTAAAAAAATTTCATCTATAATATATATATGTGTGTTCAGTAAATAAGGAAACAAGTTTCTATTGTTCTCATTATTTGTAACAATTAACCTGTTTCCTTACTTTTTGTTCGCTATATATATATATATATATATATATGCTGTCAATATTAAGATGCCACCATTTCTATGGTCTGGAGGTGGGTAATAATATCATCTACCATTAGCGAGTGTTGTGCGAGTCGTTTAAGATGTATTTTTGTGTCATTCATTTATGTTTTTGTAAATGTTTTATAACTTGGATATGATAAATACTGTATATGTGTAATAATATTATAATATTTTAAATGGAAAAAACTGTGTTGCTGTCTGTTGATTTTCTACATATTTATATATAGATGAAATTTTTTTTAATTTTGGCTTATGATTTGCTTATTATTGCTATAAAACATTTAACTGCTTCAGTTCAAAATAATAACCCAATATATAATTTAGAATAATTACTAGTATTTGGGACTTAATACATATATAAAATTTGTTTGGTTCACTTCCAAGACATTCAACTTAATGAAAATGTATAACAGTTATATTACAGTACCAAAAGAACTTTCTTCGTTTTTTCTAGGAAGGTGATCCTTTACTCCCTTACCTCAAAAATAAAATCTTAATTAATATACATTGATTAAGTTTAAGAAAAACAAAAACGAATATTTATTTTTCATTGATGTACTCAATGTGATTAATATAAACTTTATGCATTAATTAAGTTTATTTTGATCATCCTGAGTTTTTCTATGATAAATAGATATTTCTGTTAGTTTTTTTAACTCTAAACTGTGTAATTAGAAATTTAATTTTACATAGAGGGGATCGCTCCTTCTCTAGAACAAAAAATATTTCTGTGGTACTATGTACAGTTATAATTTTTCACGAAGTTCAGTGTCTTAGAAGTGGTTCAAATAAATTTTATGAATGCATAAAACAGGATTTTATACATTTATAGCCCTGCTATTAACTTCATATAAATACAGAATGCATGTATTATTTTTATAAAATCTAAAATTATTTTGTGGTTTTATATACATATGGAACAGATCTAACTAACATCTCTTATAACTCTTGATGCAATTAAAATTCCACTGTAATATGCTTTTTAAATAATTTATGCATTATTGGAAACTATATTAAATTTATAATTTTTATAATGAAGTAAAAAAAAATTATTTTTTTTTAATTTAAATTATATTTATGCATAATCTATGTATTAAAATGCTTATAACTCAATAATTTATCATCCTAAAATTGCTATTGATTCATAAAAAAATGTAAAAAAATCTCTAAGAAACAGCAATTTTTAAAAAAATAAAAATAAATATGCTTTTAACATTGTTTCAAAAATTAAAAATGATATTTAAAAAATTTACAGCAAAATGATTATTGAATCAAAAGCTATAAAAGTTATCAATTAGATCTGTTTCACTTATATAAATATAATTAATAACTTGTCTGTATTTTTTATCAGTTGAAATATTATTTTGTATTAAACTACTACTAGATATTTAAAGAAAAAATTATAGTTAAAAAACATTTTTTTCTTGAATTGCAAAATTTTAAATAATTTAAAATATAAATTATTTTATTTTAAAATTTTGCTATTTATTAATACAGACTAGGCCCAAGTACAAAATAATATATTATTAATATATGCAATTTATTTATAAAAATAAATTTAAGTAAAGTATGTTAAAATATACTTATTGCATATATTTAATTTAAGGAGCTTCTAGCATGGGACCTATAAATCCACGAATGAACCCTCCGCGAAGTATGGGTCCTTTGGGTTCTTATGGAGGACCTGGTATGCGAGGACCACCTCCAAATGCTACTTTAGGATCAAGTAACATGCCTCCAATATCAATGAGTGGTGGTCCTATTGGAAGACCATCACATTGGCAGTCAAATTTGAACACGGTAAGTGATAATTATACTTCAAATATTTATTTTTAAATATTCAATTTGAGTTAACTGTTTACTAATTTTTTGTTTTTAACTATGCAATACTATTTTTATTAGAAATTTCTTTATTCTACTTATTGAATAATTAGGATGATCTAAAAAATTTTTAATGTAAGAAGATCAAGTAATTTTTTTGTAACCACTTTTTATTAAAAATATATACTTTATATTTCTTACAATTTTTTTAAAATTTATATTATACAATTATAAATTATATCAACAGGACTGGAAGTGAGAAACCGAAGTCTCTTTTAGTCACTTTTTTCGTAAAATTGGCTTTCATAAAATTATTACCAATTAAACTTCTTTTTTAAAATAAATTTTCAACTTGTTTAAAAAATATGTAGAACTTAATTTGTGGAATTCAACAAATGTGCTACTTCTACTGAAATTGTTGCTATTGCTATTAATAATACGAAATGTATTTAGGCTCAAATTATTCTAATCATGATATATTTTTATGTATATAAACTTGTATACATTGCAAAAATTTAATAAAATGAAATAATTTCAATTAATTGATCAAAAAATTAATGTTTTTTTAAGAAACATTTATTAAATTTTGATTAGCAATCTTATTTGNTCAATTAATTGATCAAAAAATTAATGTTTTTTTAAGAAACATTTATTAAATTTTGATTAGCAATCTTATTTGAAATTATAGCAGTCATATGCCGTGATATGAATATCTAATCTACCTGAGTATTTCAGTCTTACAGTATTACAGTCTTGAAATAATATTTCAATAGAATTTTTAAGAAAAAATTAAACTATTAATTTTTTATACTAGATGCATATTGGAAAAATCTAGTAAGTCTTTTTAATGAAAAATTAATTAATATTTTCAAGACGAATGAATAATTTTTATGAACTAAGGATTCTTAAACTTTAATAATGTAAACTTTAAAAATAATAATTGATTGTGATTTAAAAGGCATAAGCATAAATTGAAGAGAAAAATTTAGTGCTATTATGATATTAATTTTGTTCTCTATGTATTTTTTTTCAATGATTTATCACCCTCTCTCAAATTTTATTTTATACTATAAGAAAATATTCACACATTTATTTCATGTTAATAAAACTTGAAACTTAATTGTTGTAATTAAGTACTATATTTTCAAAGATACAAGGTGAATCAATTACATGGATAATTATTATTTATTTATGAATTATTAACCTTAGGCTGTGTAATATATTTTTAAAAATTTTCTCTTAAGAGTATAAAACTAATTTAAAAAATTATAATTAGTAATATAAAATGTATGTTTAAAAAATGAACTGTGTTAATATACTTATTTATAACATTTATAATTTTTTTCCCCTTATTTATAGAGTGATTGTTTAACTATCACTTGCACAATATTTAAAATAATATTAATCATAGAGAGACGGTACAAACGAGTCGATAACGTAGCAGTGCTTGACGTGCACTGCCTCTGTTATAAAACTTGGTAACAGGCAGATTCATTTGCTGAATGAGAGATCAGTTTGGTAATTGCAGTCGTCATTGCTCTCTCTGGCGACGGACTAACCATTCGTCCTGGAGTATCATGGTTACAAAACCTCTTTGGAGGAAGCCGCTATAGCCCTTAATGGGGGTTTATAAGGCTATTTAATAAAAATAAATCCTAATATAATGTTTTATTTTCAGAAGTTAATAGTATCCTACATTTTATAATTTCCAGACAACAATTTAGTATTATTTCCCTATAAAATTTTATAGGGGGATTTAATTTTTTAAATTGATTTAAAATTTTTAAATCAAAATTTGTGTGTTTACCAACTTTTTTTTCAATCCTAAGATTGATTCAATGACTTTGATGGACCTCCACTTGTCCCTATCCATCACAGTTACTTTCAAGTCTTTGTAATTGGTTTTTCCTATGTCTTCTATGATCTGTTTCATAATTGGTATTCTTGGTCTACCTCTTCCAGCTTTTCCTTCTATATTTCTTTCTATTAATGTTGTTATCCATTCATTGTTTTTTATTATATTTTATTAAAAAATTGTTTTTTTATTAATCCATTTTTTTCTCCTTTTTGTGATTGTCTTCCATATTGTTTTCTGTCTGTTAATATTTAGGTATACTTCTTCATTTTCAAATTTTAAGTGTTCTCCTCCAACATCATGTTTCAAAATCTTTGATCTTTTTTCTTCCTGCTTAAGTATTGTTCATGTTTCTGCCCCATAAAGGGGTATACTCTATGCAAAACTCTTAATAAAAGTTTGTATGGTCTCCAGACTAACATTGTTTGCCATGAATAGGTGTTTCTGCTTGTAAAATCACTGTTTTCTTGTGCTAATCTGCTCTTTATATCCACCTTACTTTTCCAGCATATATGATTTTCGATTGTTTTGTTTAAAATCAATGTTTGCTTGCTGCATTAGTATTTTATTTTTGTTCTTGTTTACTTTCATTTTTTAACTCCTTACAGATATCAATCATTTCTATTAAGATATTACTTAATTCTTCACTTTCCGCTATCATTTCTATGTAGTCTGCAAAACACCACAACATATGTGCACTAACATTGTTTATTCATTATTATTATTTATCATTTTCTTTTCATTTTTAGGACATTTTCAATATACAAATTAAATAGTGTGAGTAATAAGTTACACCCTAGTCAAACTCCTTTTTCAGTATTTGCTCCTTCCCTAGATTTATGTTCTTTCTTTGTTATCACAGCCTTTTCATTTAATTATTATAACTTATTAATAATTCCCCTGTTTTTAATATCGATATTAATAGCTTTCAGAATGCTGAATATTTTTCCCCAGTTGATGTTGTCAAAATCTTTTTTGATTGTTGAATGCTATATACATCAGTTTGTTTACTATACACATTTTTTCCATGATCATCTTGAGGTACAGTATTGCCTCCCTTTCCTCTATTCCTTCTATACCAAATTGATCTTCCTTCAGGTTGTCATCTATTTTTGCTTTTATTATATTGTAAATTATCTTTATTAATATTTTTAATGCATGTGTTATTAAACTTATGGTTCTATGATTTTCACATTTTCACATTTTTCAGATTTCTTTTTTCATTAATGATATCATTAAACACTTTTCAAAATCTTTGGGAACCAACCTTTTTTCNTATATTGTAAATTATCTTTATTAATATTTTTAATGCATGTGTTATTAAACTTATGGTTCTATGATTTTCACATTTTTCAGATTTCTTTTTTCATTAATGATATCATTAAACACTTTTCAAAATCTTTGGGAACCAACCTTTTTTCATATATAGAGTGTTCAGTAAGTAAGGAAACTGGTTTCTATTGTTCTCATTGTTTGTAACAATTTACCTGTTTCCTTACTTACTGAACACTCTGTGTATCAAATATTATTTCAAAAGTTGTCTCATTTTCTTAGCCTTCTATTGCATTTAACATTTCTCCACTTATGTTATTTATATCTGTAGCTTTATTGGGTTTGAGCTCTTTTAGTGCTGTCTCAAATTGGACTATCCTATATTTTCTTGTCCTGCATCTTTTTCTATGGCCCAATGTCCTTTGATATTACTCTGGTTCCTTTTACTCTTACAATAGTTTATTTACAAATGAAATCTCTTCTTATTTCTTCACTCTTTATTTTATACATACACCATTTTCTTTTTGTATTTCTGTTATTTTCCTCTTTTTGTTTCAGGCTTAAATTTGTTTCCATTAATACTAGATTATGAGCACTGTTGATGTCCACCCCTAGGTAACTTGCATTTTTTTACTTGGTTTTTATACCTATTCCTTATTAATATATAATCTATTTAATATCATGTCTTTGCTCCCGGCATGGTACATATATATCTTCTTTTTGGTTGTAAGTATATTGTATTTGTAATGATCAAATATCTTTCTTTTCTAAGCTCAATTAACCTATTTCTCTTGCCTAGACCAAATGAATCTGTTACTCCATGTTTTTTTGTCTCTCCTACTACTGCATTCCAGTTTTCTAATACAATTAGGTTTACCTTTTCTTTTGTCATTTCTATCACTTCACTTATTTGTTTATAGATTTCTCTGTTCAATATAAAACCGACTCCTGTTCTCTATGACCATCTCCACTAAATATAATTCTGTAGTCTCCTGACTAGAAATCTCCTTCCTTTATTCATTTTGATTATTTAATTATGATTGCCATCATATCTATTTTAAGTCGTTCCATTTCAATTTTAAGATTCTCTAACTTACCATAGATTCATAAAGACCTTACATTCCACATTGCTTTCTTCTTTTCCTTACTTTAATCTTCTCCTTTATTGAATACTTAAAAGCTATAGGCCCCATCTGTATATCCAAATAGGAGACTTTTTTACCTCCAAAACGTTTTAACTCTTGTATTTATTATGTCATTATCCACAGGACACAATATTGCAGTAGTTTTCTCTTGCTTCCTGTATTGTAGTTGATGAGCCAGTAAGCTATCATCAAACCCTTTCATTGCCATTAGATCTGCTGTGTAATTCGTCAATGGTCAGTAGTAAAGGTTGCCCTCCACTACCTCCTTTTAATCGACTTTTATGATAAGAATGAATTATTGTGGTCCTATTCTAACTTTAAACCACAAGGGAATTAACTATCTTACAAACTAGGAAATGTTATATCTAAAAAATGTCTGGTTGATATCAACTTTGGATTAGTGTTTTAAAATTTATAAACATTTTTATGAAAAAGAAAAATGGGAGAAATAGCTCAGTTCATTGATATGTAGAAATAAAAATAAACAAATCCATATTTAACTTCCAGTGATTATATTAAAGATCTAATATTTTCTAAAAACTGGTCCAAAAGTTATTCACAATCAGTCATTTTCTTGGATAAATTATTTTCTAGTGTGTAAGTTGATTAAATATATCTATTTACATTTAAAAATCTGAAGTTAATAAAATTTTAAAGAGAAAAGAAAAGGATAGAAATTTTTTGTAAAATTATAAAATGTATAATACTATTAACTTGAAAAAAAAAATAATATAATTTATATTTTGAAATATATTGAGAGAATTAGTTATTCTACCACCTTGTATCTATGTCTCTATTATTATGTCTGAGACATATTTTAAATAATAATATTATACACGCACATTTTTTAATAATATGTACTCTTCATAGGAGTAAATTAATAAAAAAAATTCTGTTTTCCTCATCCTAAAATGTTTTTATATATTAATACATATATTCTACAAATATGGAAGGCTATGGTAAATTTAGGAGGCTATATAACTCTAAGTTGTCAACCTGAATTTACTTTCGTAGTACTCTTACAATAAAAAATAAAAATAGATACTTTTAATAAGCTTTAAACTTTTTATTCTAGTAAATGTTTTTTATTATTTTCCAGTGCTAGTGTTATGACAATTTATTAAATCACACTTTAGTCTTTTTTTTTTTTTTTTTTTTGTTAATTCTTTCTATATTGTTTTAACTTTAAATCACTAAATAGTATTCATTTTTTTAGCCAATGGGTTATTCATCATCGTCATCTCCTGGTGCATATGGTGTAAGTTAAAATTATTTGTAACATCTCATTTTTATCTTTCAATATTTCCTTCAAATTTCAAAAATTTTATTAATAGATAGCAATTATAAAAAATAATTTTTCTGAAAATATTTAAAGAAAAAAATGTAATTCCATTTTAATGATTATATTATAACATTTTATTTTTTAACTTTGAAAGCCTTTTTATATAAATAATATAAGCATTAAAAAATACATTTTAGTACTTGCATAATGCTTCAATTATTTTAAAAATATAATTTCTTTCTTGAATTTTATATCTACATTAAAATATTTCTCATTTAAATATCATTTTAGTATTTTAAAGACCAATTGTGCTTTAAACATGCTTTGATTTAATTACTGAATAAAAAAATGAATTAATAAATACTAAAAATGTATCATTTTGATGCTAATGTATTTTACCCTTTTATTTCTTTTTAACTTGAAATTGATATTTTTTATATGAAGGGACCTTCAGGATCAGGTGGCCCTCCAGGCCCTGGAACACCTATAATGCAAAGTCCTCAAGGTAATAATAATAATGTTGAGAATTAATAAATCATTAGTTTTACTATAGTTAATGATTTTTTTTTTAACAAGATTTTTTTATTGGTAGAAATTCTATTATGAGAAAATCTAATAAAAACTATTAAGAATTAATAATCATAAAAGAATCTAGTATCAAATTACATTAAGAACAGTAATTTTTTCATTGCTTACTCAAATATGATGATTCAAAATGAAAATTAGCAACCTTTTTACCTATGTGGGTCAATGTTTTCAAATTTACAAAATGTAAAAACATAAAATAAACTCTTTGTGTTAGTATTATTAGGAGGGTTATAAAAATATGGGTCTTATGTAAAAGTTGCTAGTAGCTAATTTAAAATACCATAGAATATTTATTTAATTTGATTATAAATTTTATCATTACAAATTTATTTATTTTTTTAAGTAAATAATGAAATTTGTACTTAGCAAGATATAATATTTCCCCGTAATCAAGCTAGTTAAATTAATGTGTGTTTACACCTTATTTAATAACTTATCTCCAAAAAAATTCTTTTATAGATTCTTCCAACTCTGGAGGTGAAAACATGTACACTATGATGAAACCAGTGACTAGTATGTCTAATGTAAGTATTATATTTTTTCCCCAGTGTTTGTATTTATTTTTTGTTATGTTATAGGATTTTCAAATGAACAATGTACCAGACAGTGGGTCACTTGGTCCAATGGCACCAAATTCAATGAGTTCTGTATTAAATGGAGATGGGCTTGATGGTATGAAAAATTCCCCAGGACCTCCTGGAACCCCTAGAGAAGATAGTGGTAATGGTATGGGTGATTATAATCTTGCAGGCTTTGGAGGAACAGGAGAAAATGTGATTGGTCTAGACTTATACTAAAAGCACGATCAATTTTTTTTTTTACAAAATAAGTTTATATTTTCCAATTTATGAAACAACAGAATAATAAGTTTATTCTGTTGTTTAGAAATGTTTATATATAACGCATTGAAACATTCACTATTTTTAACAGTTCTTTTTTTTTTATATATATAATTGGTGTCGTAAAAGGTGATAATTTCATGAATCACTTAAAAAATGTAATTTTATCAGTTTCATAACATTATTATTATATCATCATTAATATTTCAAGTAAATAATTAATGTAGATAAATATATTTTATATATTGTTTGTACAAAAATTTTTATTATATTAAGTTTTTTTTTATTTCTCTTAAAATACTTGTTCTGTAATCATTTTTTTCCAATATTAATTTAATATAACCTCAAATATAAAACATTTAATCAGTTGGAAAAATTCTGCACACTTTTATTTAACACATAGTATTGCTTCATTATTTAGTTTCATGATATTTTGTGATATTAATAAAAGTTTATATTCTGTAAATATAAAACTGAAACTGAAAAATTAATAATATTGTAATTTATTCATAAATGTATCAGTATTGTAAAAAAGTGAAGAACCTAAGATGTATTTTTTTTTAATGTTTTAGCATATAATGAAGAAAAACTTCAAACAAATATTATTTAAACTTCAAAACTGTCCTTTTAATTAAGTAAAATATATTCTCTAGTTAATGTCAGATTCTAGGTTATCAATTTCTTAGATTCAAGTTAAAACATCTTGTTATTTTAGAATGAAGTTTACTGAGACAAATAAGGTTAAGTTGATATCATTTCATTGAATAGTATAGATTTTCTTGTTATTTTTAACACAAACTTAAAGATTATCTTAAACTTAAATTCAAGAAAAATTAATTACAAAATCTTGACAACTTAGAGTTTTACACAAACTATACCATTTTAATAAATTAGGAAAATTATCAAATAATTAACTTTTATTTACTTGTAAATAATTCAATGAGACAAAAAAAATTAAGGGCTTAAGCAACAACCAGACAAGTCTAACTTTTTTGTTAATCTTAAATAAACATTTTTTTGTGTAATTAAGTTTAAAAACGAGTTCTTTATTACTGTTATTTGTGAAAATATTTAAATTAAAAAATGTGTTTAATTAAGTAATTTACTTAATTAAACATAATTATTTCATATTCAAGATTTATTTTTGTGGTATAGGGACTATACTAAGGTAGCGTACTTTAATTTATTCTCTTTTAAACATACCAACAGTGTATTTCTGGAGGACAGGAGCCCCCTTCCATTCATGTGACCACCAAATTTTTGCAAAAAAATACTACTTTTAAAAATCTTCAAAAATAATGATTGTTATATACATTATAGGGGGTTTTTAGTCGCAGTTGGTAACTTTCTGGGATCTGAATCCCTCACAAAAAATAGTATTTTTAACTTATATAATATGTAAGGTAAGACTGATTAGAATTCTAAGAAAATTTTATTCTTAAGGACCCACTCCAAAAAAATAATGAAAATCTGCTACTGGAGGTTTCTAATATGAATTTTTTCTGCATATGTGTCTGTATAAGATAATTCACTTAACTCTTAATATTCTTTTAGCTTCGATGCGAAGCGGAGAAGGTATTAATTTTACTATAATGTGTTTTTTTTTTTTTTTTTTTTTTTTTTTTTTTTTTTTTTTTTCCC